TAAACTGCTGGCCGCTCCATCAGCAACACAGAAGGCATGTCATGGGCTAGTGGGGCTCTTCTAAAACCAGAGCTTTTTAAACAATATTTTATTTAACTTCATTTATTTATTTTAATAAAATAAAATTTAATTAAATTAATAAATAAATGAAGGGACAGAGTGTGAAAGGGAGGGGGGGGTGGAGAGAGTGAGAAAGCAAGCCAGCAGGTACAGGACCCAGACCACGGCTGGTCATGTGGGAGTCCAGCACCCTGAACCACCACACCGCCTGCTGTCCACAAACCACAGTGCTTTTTAACAAAACAAACTCGTTTGAAGTCATGTGTGAACAGATTACGGAAGAAAAATCGCATGTTGTCTATTAGATGGGGAAAACATTGGAGAAGGCCGAGGTCCCCAGAGCACTAGTAAACGGGACGCCCTGAAGCCCGTACTTGGGTATAAATTTGGAAATACACCTAATGACAGCTCGGAGCCGTCACAGGAAGGCCCTCACGGCCCAGAGGCCGGTGTCGTGCTGCAGTTCTCAAGCAGCCAGTGAGGACAAATGGGGGGAGTACAGCAGTCACTGGTGGCGGATGAGTGAGTGGGTCCCCGAAGCCAGTGAGGCCACAGATGCTAGGACCGATGACTTCCCACTCACAGCTGCTCGCCCTGCGTCTTACACGAGGGAGGAAAGACATTCTGTACCGTGTCCGGTTTCGGCTCCCAGTGCCTGAATGAGTGGCAGCACGGGGCCTCCCTGCCTGTCTGCACGTTTAAAATGTGTTTCTGAGTGTGCGTCTGTTCGTGTGAGCCCAAGACTAGTGGAAGCTCTGTGGCATTTCATAATTATAGTGCTGTAATGTTAATTGGCAAGGTGCTTTAAAACCGAGCGGTGTCCTGTGAGCTCCTCCTATCTCTCTTTGCTCCCACGGAGCTGGTTCGTGACTTTGTACGGTGTTTCTTAGAGCTGTGTTCATCTCTGCCTCCAAGAGCCTCTACGACACATCCGATAACTGAACTGGGAGACCCGAGCTTTTCTAACCCAAGAGATTAGATCAGAACTCTGGCCCAGACCAGCCATCTTAACTGCAGGCTGAGGTGCCCTTTCGCCGTGGTGGTCTAATTTTATCCGGGGCAGGCATCGCATTGCAGGGTACTGTGGACAGGTGACGCCAGCGAGGCCTTCCCATGGCAGGGAGCACTTTCCTTACGTGCATCTCAGCCGGGCGCCCTCTTGGGGGGCAGGGTGAGCCTGTTCTCACCTGACCGGGTCCTTGGCTGGGAGCGCAAATCCACGTCTACAGGGCAGAGACCAGCTGGAGTGCTCTCGGGATTGCGACACTGACCCTCGCCAGGACGTTCTGTCTGAACAGTGACCAGTCATCCCCTTGTCCCCTTGCTGCTGTCAGGCACTTTTCATGCCAGAGCCCTGCTCAGAGAAGGCCTCGTCCGGTCCCTTTGCCCTTTGCCCTCGCAGCTGCCCTCGGTCTGAATGGATAAGTCAGCCTGAGACCAGGGGAGCTCCAGGAGGACTCCAGGCTCGAGATTGCCTCTGCCCTGGAGTCTCACCCAGCGCCCCCCGCCCAGCTGCGATCTGACAGCATGGAGCTGGATCTTTGGCCTCATCAGTTTGCTTTTTTAACAGTTCCCAGGAATGTTGTGGGGGTGTTGCTGCTGTCCTTGGGTGAAATGATGCAACACTGGGGACATGCTTGAAAGTGTCCCAATGGGCCGGGGCAGCAGGGGCCAGAGGGCAGCCGCGGTTGGACTTATCGAAGCGGGACGTGGGCTCAAGAGGCTCATATCGTCTTCCCTTCTATTATTTTTTAATTTGTTTCAGTTTTGCTATAGGGCTCCTGTGCTTGCCAGAAAGAGAGAGAGAGCAAGAATCACCCACCAGGGCAGGCCGTCTCGCTGAAATCCCCTCTCCTCTATTTGGGACCCTGGGCATCATGCACGTGCGCCCACCATGCTCCCCGCCACGTCCAGCACTCACACTGCGAAGTCAGCCACGCGGGATCCAGCCACCTTAACCGCCACGCCATTGACTGGCCCTGTCGTCACTGTTGTGTACATGTAAAAAGTTTCCGTGACAAAACAGTTTCGGGGAGCCAGGCTGTGGCCCAGTGGTAATAAAACTCTCTTTGAGTTGACTCACACAGGAAAGTCTGAGGTCCGTGTCCCAAGATCTCCTAGTACACACTGGGCACACGCATGTCCCTGACCCAGGCCAGCTGAGACTGAGGCTGGTTTGCAGTGTGAGGACCCTGCTGGCGTGCCTCGGGGTGCCTCCATCTTCTCACTTTCTCTGTTAGAAGAAATCTTTTTTTTTTTTTTTTAAGTTTAATTTTTTAAAATTGTCAGTAGTTTTTCTGGAGGTCTAGCTCAGCATAAGCACACTGCAGACTCAGAGCAAGATCTATTGGGGAGGCCAGCAGATGGCATAGTGGTTATGTCGCTGACCCTCCTGCATGGCTGACAGGGGTTCAAGTCCTGGACCCCCGGGACTCAAAAATCATGCTGGGCATGGGTGCATGAGTGCGTGCCCAGGATCCCAGGGAAGAAGGGATCATGGCGTGGCTGTCCCCCTGTGGGGTGATTTCTCCCTTTCCCTGTCTCTCTGTCTCTGTCTCTGGCAAGTGCACACATCCTGTAACTAACTTTAGAAAAAGCAAAACCCAGTTGAGCCTGAGTGAGCCGTGGGGTTCACAGCTGAGCGCCTACCCTTCATGAGAAGGGAGCAGCTCCCCACAGACCACGCTCTGGGGAGACGGGATCTTGGTGCAGGCGCACCCGCACCCGCTGACCTGGCCTGGCCCGTGTCTCCCTCCCAGGTCCACGCCTCCCGCAGCAACAACATGTGCATCGTGGGCGGGTTCACCCAGATGATCCGAGAGGGCGGGGCCCGATCGCTCTGGCGGGGCAACGGCATCAACGTCCTCAAGATCGCCCCCGAGTCGGCCATCAAGTTCATGGCCTACGAACAGGTGAGGGCCCTGAAACTGGGCGCCTGTCATCGCTAGGGGACAGCAGGGGCAGGCGAGAGGCCTGGGTCTGACCCCAGCTCTGCCACCAGCTCCACCTTGGGCCAAGTCCTTCGTCTTTCCATCTCTGGGCAGTGTAAAATGGGCCAGGAACACCCAATTTCAGCTAATCTGGCTCCAGGAAGGAGGGTGGGGCAGGAGCTGGTGCCCTGGTCTCTGGGTGCATGAGTTGTTCTCTGTGTCCCAGATCAAACGTCTTGTCGGGAGTGACCAGGAGACCCTGAGGATCCACGAGCGGCTGGTGGCAGGGTCCTTGGCGGGGGCCATCGCGCAAAGCAGCATCTACCCGATGGAGGTGAGGGCCGTGGCCTGGGAGCGGGCAGCGTGGGGCCGGTGTGAGGCGTGGGCGGGCTCA